AAAGTACCCGCACAGAGGACCCACACGAGCGGAGATCAGAAAAGCCAGAGCAAAGCCTCATGCCTAGGCAGAGGAGCTACGCCAAGTGTGGGAGCGAACGATGCTGCAGGCAGGTGAGGCTCGGAGCGCGGTGGTGGCTCGCCTGTAGCAGCCCAAGGTCGTTAGCAGTTTCCCCTCCCCCTCCCCCCTTTTCCTCCTCCGCCTCCGTCCTCCGCTTCCCCTCCTCACCCCCTCATTGTGTCAACCGTGATGCAGGTTTTTCGGGCCAGCCGGAGGGCCAGTGTTGCTGCCGAGACGCTCGTCGAGGGCGGTCCTCCTCCCCTCCCCTCTCCGTCCTCTTCCTCCTCTCCCCCCACACTGTTTCAACCGGGATGCAGTTTTGTCGGGCCGGCCGGAGGGCCAGTGATGCTGTCGAGACGCTCGTCGAGGGCGGTCCTCCTCCCCTCCCCCCTCCGTCCTCCGCCTCCGTCCTCCGCCTCCCCTCCTCACCCCCACTTTGTTTCAACTGGGATGCAGTTTGTCGAGCGGGCAGGAGGGCCAGTGATGCTGCCGAGACGCTCGTCGAGGGCGGTCCTTTTCCCCTTCCTCCTCCGTCCTCCGCCTCCGTCCTCCGCCTCCTCCCGCTCTCGCTTTCCTCTTCTGTTTTCGGTGGTGGTGAGTCTTCTACGCAGTGGTAGTTTGCATGATGTCTTGCATGAGTTGTTTGTCATTCCCAGGTCGTGCTGCGTTGAAGGAGTGCTTCGATCTCCCGAATGCGCACGCCACCTGCCCGCGGGCCCGCCGCTTCTGCGCGGGCGGCGCCGGCGTCCCGCCAAGCGTGCTTGCCGGGCGTTTCGCCCCGTCTTGTCCAGAAATTCGCGGTTGGCCCCTTGCGGGCTCGAGCTGCTGCCACATCCTGCCGGCGCAGTTCGCCCTCCCCTTCGCTCCTCGTTGGCTCCTCTCTCCTCTCACCCCAGCTGTATTCGAACAGATTTGATGTTTCAACCTGCCTGCCGCAAGGTGTTGAAAAATGCCCCTCGATGGCCCTCGCCGAGAACAAATGTACACGTCCGAGCGATGCCAAGGACGTGGGCAGCGTGTCGCGCCGACGCGTGATGGGCCAGAACCGGCGGAGCGACGCTCTCTCGGCCAAAGCCCCTGACCGTGGGTGGGGGGGCCGGCTGGTCAAGGGAGGAAGGCACCTCGGCCTGGAATCGGCGACGCTTCGCCAGTAGATCGGCGACGGGGACCCCGAGGGCGAGGCCGCGCGCTCCTGGGTGGGGTGGGCGATCGGGCCTCGAGCGGCGATCCATGGGCGATGGAAGGTCGATGCGCCCCCCCCGCCGCCTGAGCCTAGCCTTAGGTCGGGAGCGTCCCCCTACAGGCGGATCTTGGACGGAGAATTGAAAAATACACAAAGATAGCAAAATATAGCCAAAACAAAATTATCCCGGCAAAGCAACCTAACAGCGATGTGTAGGAGCATATCTGGAAGCATTCCCCTTAAGATTCAGATGAGAACCCAGTTGTAGAATTCTGCTGTTCTCGCAGTCGTAGTCGCATTCGCGATGACAGTCGCAGTGGCAACGGCAGTCGCAGTCACAGCCTCAGCCTCAGCCTGCCTCAGCTCAGCCTCAGCCTGCCTCAGCCTCAGCCTGCCTCAGCCTCAGCCTCAGCCTGCTTCAGCCTCAGCCTCAGTCTGCCTTCAGCCTCGGCCTCAGCCTCAGCCTGCCTCAGCCTCAGCCTGCATCAGCCTCAGCCTCAGCCTCAGCCTGCCTCAGCATCAGCCTGCCTCAGCCTCAGCCTCAGCCTGCCTCAGCCTCAGCCTCAGCTGCTCAGCCTCAGCCTCAGTCTGCCTTCAGCCTCGGCCTCAGCCTCAGCCTGCCTCAGGGCCCGGGAATGGAGTTCTGGGAACTCGAAGAACACGAAGTGGCCTACAGTTGGCTCCGGGCATTCAAAATCATGCCCAGGAATGGAGTTCTGGGAACTCGAAGACCACGAAGTGGCCTACAGTTGGCTCCGGGCATCCAAAATGTGGCCCGGGAATGGAGTTCTGGGAACTCGAAGACACGAAGTGGCCTACAGTTGGCTCCGGGCATCCAAAATGTGGCCCGGGAATGGAGTTCTGGGAAGTCGAAGAGCACGAAGTGGCCTACAGTTGGCTCCGGGCATTCAAAATGTGGCCCGGGAATGGAGTTCTGGGAGCGCCAAGAGCGATTTTGCGAGGATGTCCCAAGCGATTTCGGCTTCGGCGGCAGCCGATCCGGGTCCCGCCCCGACCCCCCTGTGGAGTCATCTGCTGCTCTCTTTTGAGACCACTAGAAACCTATCAGCAAAAGCTGTTAGGTAATTAAAAAATCATCCCCAGACTATGTGTTTTGACTATCTTTGCATATTCCTCCTGTAGAGGGACAGGCCCGACTTACGCCTAGCCCAGAGCCCCTGGCATCCTCAGATGTGCCTGTTCCGTCCGCGGCCCCCGAGCTCCCGAGCCCTCCCTGCGGTGCGCGGCCAGCGCCTCGCCCCCTAAACGAGGTCTGTTTGCATGGTCGTCCTGGGGCCCCATCGCGGCACCCGGAGGCCGAGGCCGCAGAGCCCCTGAAGGGCTCAACGGCTCCTGCAGTCCCTCGACTCGAGCCGGAGCCGCCACAGCTCGCTCCAGATGTCCCTGGGGGACCTCCCCGCCTCTGCGCAGGTCTGGCCCGATGCTTGTGTGGGGGGGGGGCCCGCCTGGATTTGTATGCGTGCACCCTGAAGTCAGCCGGCTTGATCCCCACAGGTCGATTTGAAGGGGCCCCAGGACCCCAGGACACAGAAGTATATAAACTCAAACAAGAGGACTCCCCGTCTTCTCCCATGGTTTCTGGGCTTTCGTCTCCCCCCCCACTTCCCACAGCTTCCCCTCTGTTCTGGGAACCGACGAGGCACTGTGTCTCTGTGTGTTCTCTTCCCTCCCGACGATTGGCGCCACGCCGTCGAGCTCCCAGGAGGAGGAGGAGGAGGAGGAGGAGGAGGAGGAGGAGGAGGAGGAGGAGGAGGAGGAGGAGGAGGAGACCCAGGACGACGAAGAGGAGCACCACGACGAGGAGGAGGGGGAGGGGAGGAGGAGGAGGAGAGGAGGAGGAGGAGGAGGAGGAGGAGGAGGAGGAGGAGGAGGAGGAGGAGGAGGAGGAGGAGGAGGAGGAGGAGGAGGAGGGGAGGGGTGAGGAGGACAAGCTAGGTGCGCGCGCGTCATATCTGACGTCCTACCCCTCCCTCCCATCCCTTAGCATGGCGCTGATTTTCTCTATCCGCGGACTACTGGGTGGTGGTGCGCGTGCGTGCGTGCGTGCGTGGGTGCGTGGTTGTGGTGGTGGTGGTGGTGGTGGTGGTGGTGGTGCTGCTGGTGGTGGTGGTGGTGGTGATGGTGGTGCTGGTGCTGCCGGTGCTGCTGGTGGTGGTGGTGGTGGTGGTGGTGGTGGTGGTGGTGGTGGGTGTTGTGTGTGTGTGTGCGTGTGCGTGTGTGCGCGTGTGCTGTGGCATGGCACGGGAAATGACGCCAGAGCTGCAGCGGGAGCACGAGTCGAAACGGGCGGAAGCGCGGAAATGAGGCCAGCGCTGCAGCGGGAACACGATTCGGAACGAGCGGAAGCACGGAAATGAGGCCAGCGCTGCAGCGGGAGCACGATTCGGAACGAGCGGGGCCCGAAAATGAGGCCGGCGCCTCGGCGAGAGCAGCATTTTGAAAAAAAAAAAAAAAAAAAAAAAAAAAAAAAAAAAAAAAAAAAAAAAAAAAAAAAAAAAAAAAAAAAAAAAAACACAAGCGAAAACCCGTTTCCCGGGAATCCTGTGTGTAAAAAAGCCCTACGCGGGGGGGGTCGGATATCTTCGGGGCGCCATCAGGGGAAGTGGGAGAGTATTTTCATATTGTCTAGTTGTGGAGGAGGAGGAGGAGGAGGAGGAGGAGGAGGAGGAGACCCAGGACGACGAAGAGGAGCACCACGACGAGGAGGAGGGGGAGGGGGGGGGGGGGGGGAGGGGGAGGGGGAGGGGGAGGGGGAGGGGGAGGAGGAGGAGGAGGAGGAGGAGGAGGAGGAGGAGGAGGAGGAGGAGGATTAGGTTAGGTTAGGCACGCCACTAGACCCGCCACCCCGAGCAGGCACAGAAGCCCCCACTCGACATGGCGAGCCCGTGGATTTCTCTCTCAGTCAGTTCCACCGCCGCTCGTCGGCCCTCTGGCCAGCGAGGGCCCACTCCTTGGTGCCAGCACTGGCGCACAAGGGTTCACGACGGCGGGCCTGCGAGCGGCGGCGGCGGCGGCAGGCGCACAGGGCTGCGCCTGCGACTCGCCGCTGGCGGTGAACTCCACGTCGTCCTCCTCGTAGAGCTCCAGCTCGAAGTACACATTGCGGCCTAACCCCTCGCCGCGCAGGGGAAAATTGTGGCCTAACCCCTCGCCACGCGGGGGAAAAACGCGGTCTAACCCCTCACCGCGCTGGGGTTGGTGGCCTAACCCCTCGCCACGCAGGGGGAGCCTACGGTCCAACCCCTCACCGTGCTGGGGATCGCCTGACCCCGCAGTCTCGCCCTGCGAGGGTCGGCTGCGGTCTAACCCCTCACCGCGCTGGGGTGCGTCGTACTGCTTTCCGTACTGCTCCCTCTCATTGACGCGGTCTAACCCCTCACCGCGCTGGGGTGCTTTCCTCCACTCGGAGCGGTCGTCGGGCTGTCCCTGGCTCGGGGAGATCGGGTCATGGTGCTCATGGAGCCGCGCCCCCACTATCTCCTGTCCATCATGACGCCGCCCTTCGACCCTTTGTTCTCCTTCGCCTCGAAGGAGTCCTTCGTCGTCGATGCGGCCTAACCCCTCGCCGTGCTGGGGTGCAGTGTCGTCGTCCTCCTCGTAGAGCTCGAGCTCGATGTAGTCGCCTGCCGCGGCCCTGGCTAACCTGCTCGAGCACGCCAGTGTATGTTCCCATCGGCCTAACCCCTCGCCGCGCTGGGGAGCATCGTGGCCTAACCCCTCGCCACGCCGGGGTCCCTCAGCCGCTGGGCTTGATGCTGCCGCCGATGCGCTTGTCGCCGTGGAGACTCTGCACGTCCTTCTTGCAGGTGACGTGGCCTCCGTACTCCCAGCAGTCGCCCGCTCGAGCCTGCAGCACCAGCTGCCGCGACTGAGGCCAGCTTCGACGGGGTCTCCTGCTTGATGATCGTCATCTGATTCAGGCCGTCGTGGGGGTGGCGGCCGCTGTCCGTCTGGCGCCCGATCTCCTAACGCCCTGCGGAACATGCCTCGTAGCCGTGCAAGTTCACGCCGATGCCGGTGAGCCAATCTACGATACTCTTCGGGTTCCGTCTCTGGCGCATGGAGTCGTTCGTAGAACTCATCCCTTCTCGCCGTTGTTTGTCTCCACGCACTTCCGCACTGCTGCTCGATGATCTGTTGCATCGTCTGCCCTGGGAACCAGCGCCTCAATGTGCGGCGCAGGGGGTGATTGTTCTCGTCGGTGAGCATCTGCGTGAGCATCGCTACGCACCACTCCTGCCAGCTGTCGCTGTCTCTGGCCAAGCACGTAAGATCGTCGTACCACAGTGTTGCCCATTCTCTAAGATCAGCACGCATGTCGGCATAATCTTGTGGCCCCGTGTCCTCAACGATCGGCGGTAGTCCCATCGCGCCTGGATCTTGATCCAATACTCCGTTGCTGTCGTCCATCCTGCAATTGTCGTCGTGGCTATGGCTGTCCACTCCGTTCTGACCCCCCCCACGGTCGGTACTTTCAGCACTCGTGGCCAAAGGGGCTGCGTGCATCCAGTGCGTGCCGTGGGGGGCAGATTCCGATCCAGCTGCATGACGACGATCTGTACGGTCTAACCCCTCACCGCGCTGGGGCGTGAAGTGACCTAACCCCTCGCCACGCTGGGGTACGCCTCGGTTTGACTCCTCCCCGCGCAGGGGCGCTTCGCTGAAGAAATCGTCGATGTCCCTCTGCACCTCGGGGTCGTCGTAATCCTCCAACTCCTGTAACCTCGGCTCAGGCAGAGGATCGCACTCGCAATCTGGTGGGTGTACCGCTGCTGGCCGAATACTTGCCACTGGCGTCTTTCTCGTAATCCGTCTCGGTCGGGGTGTAGGGTGTGGTTCTGGAGGGGGCTCATTCCCAACCAAAGGGCCGCCGTACTCATGCGGCGCTAGCCGTTCTTGATCATGTAGCTCACGCACCTGCCTAGCTATTTGAGCCTCTTGTGCAGCTCGTGGTGGTTCTTTCCTGTAGCCAGGGTAGCGTCCGTCCCGAATCTTGTTGAGCGCATCCTGCCCGTACTTGGTGATCGTCTCGCTGCACTGCTCACGTAGCCTTTTTCCCAATGGTCGTTCCATGTGCTGCGCACCGCGCACAGAATAGCAGTCCGTACCGCACCCATTCACTGACCACGTGACTGCAATGTATCTTGCCATTGTCCATGAACCTGTCGCCCTTTACCTCGGCTATCTCGTTGGCCGTGCTGTACGTAGCGTTGCATTCCGTCATGGCAAACTCCTGCAGGGCGTCCGCTGTGATGTACTGTCTGCAGGCTGTGCAAAACCACTTATTCTTGAGCCTGACCATATCGTGCTGCTTCATCTTGTCGACGACTTCCTTTACTCGGTCCCTCTTGGCCTTGGGCTTGGCTGTGGAGGGCCTCTCAGCGCACCAGGGGTCAATGTTCGCCGTGTCCGCCAAGGCCTGCCTCGCTCGTAATCGTACATGAGCACAGATCGCATCCCATTCGTCTGTCCGTGGTATTGGCGTGCACACTCTCTCCCAAGAAGCTTCTGCCGCAACCGTAGCTAATGCGTCTGCAAAGCTGTTGCCCATCGCAAAAATCGGGTTGACTAGCTCAGCCTCGTCCTCGTCCTGGTGCGACGGGGTCCACTCCACTCCGATGTGTCTGGGGGACGTGTCCATCACCGCCCTCTTGATGCGTGCCCATAAATCCGCGTTCTTCCCTCGCCCAGGGTCTTGAGCTCTGCCTTTTGTCCATGCTGTGAGGAGCGGGTAGTGGTCCGTGACGTAAACTATGTCTCCTCTCGTTTCCTCTATGGCGATCGCGAAGGCCATGGTCTCTGCCCGCGGTACGGTTTGACGCCGTCCTGGTAGGTCTGCCATCGTACCTGCTGACATACTCCACTTGCCGTCGATCATCTTCATGGTCGCCACTCCGATGCCTACTCGTCTCCTTCGGGGGTCGCCACCGTGGCAACCGCCTGAGCCATCACCAAATAGATAGAGACTGCGTCCTGGCACTCGAGCTGCTTCGTGGCCGCCGAACCTGACGTAGTCCTGTCTGTCGATGTCGTTGACCACTGGGTGAGTGAGCTCTCTGGGCGGGATACCTCGGAGCCACAAGGTCGGGTTTGCCTCGACGCCAGCGAGCGCCTTTGGCACCAAGTAGTCCGTCTTCTCATAGTTTTCGTGTCCTGTGTTGGCCGTACAGGTGTAGATGCGGTGGAAGATGGTCTCGGGCTCCTGCTTGCACCTCTCGCAGATGTTCGTGTCGCACTCGTAGCCTGCCTGAATCTGCCGTTGCCGAGCCCATTGTCCACCCGTAACCACAACATTATTGAGCGCCCAATCTTGCCATTCAGCCCGCTGGCTGTATCTTTGTTGTTCCTTACTTATGTGCCACATGTCTCCTCCTCGTTGCAAGTCGTCCCCGTGCAAATGCGTAGCTGCTTGAGCCCGCCTCGCCATTTCTAGATCGTACTCCAGATCCTCCAGCAGCTGTGTGTACTCTATAGCATCAATGTCGCACTTGCCATCGTCATCTATGAAGGGGAGCTGCCATTGTTCGTCTCCTTGTGGTGTCGGTCGCTTCCATAGTGCCGCCTGGATTGGCTTCCACCCCGCCGCCATTAGAGTAGCCTGCACCGCTGCCACTGGGCCGTGCACCTTACGCCACAACTGCGTGTCTGCTCTGGCCAACTTACGGTAAGTCGGTCCCCATGCTTGTCGTACTCGTCGATGAATCTGGGTGAAGGAGCCATTGGTGTAGCCATTCGCTGACAAGTTGCCGTCGCAAGCTGATGCCTGGGTCCTTCAAGTGATACAGTACAGCCATTCCAATGGATAAGCACCTTCCTGGTCCTGTGCCCGCCGCCGACTTCATGGCCATACGTCGTAACTGTAATATTCGGCCAGGTGCAATGCCCCAGACCTCGTGCCCATATGACTCCTGAGGGGAGACGCCTGTGGTGAAGAGGCCCTTGGTAATCCTCGCCACTCGCGTCGCCATCCTTCGTAGCCTGAAGATCTTGCCCGCTCGCTGCTTGGCCTTTCGCTGCCGCGCCCGAGCCTTTTTCTGTGTGCGCTTGCCCATGCCACTGACGTCGGTGCCCAAGTCCACCATGTCGCTTTGTTGCTTACCAGGGAGTCCTCGGCGTTGTAGTCTGCGCCATATTCGTCTTCGGAGCTTGGGATTGGATGCCACGAGCACCGTCTTAGGCGAAATTGATGAGGCTGCGCTTCTCTGCCTGGATGATGAACTCATCGACCAACTCCACCATCTGCTGCTCCACCGTCTCCTCGGTACCTTCGACCCTTCCAACCGTGTCGTCCACGTATGTCCATAGACCCGCTGCCTGGACTCGCTTCTGGGCTGCGTCTAAGGGCGGGAACAGGTACACCTTGGCGAATCTAGTCCCTTGGGCTGAGCCCGCCACGATCGAACATGACGGGTCGATCCTGGGCCCGATCCACTCCGTGTGCTTGAGGTGCCGTGGGCCCAGGAACGCTTCCACCTCCATAGCCATAATTGTCGGTGAGAAATCAAGCTCGATCCCCGTGTCAATAAGCCATCCCAAGTCTAACGAATCGTAGAACTGCTCCATATCCGCGAACAACTCCGCATGTGCAATGCCCATGGAATGGCCCGTCTCGTCGAGGGTAGCTCGCAGCAAAGCCGCTCGTAACGCCGAGGCTCCACGCAACGCTGTATCCCAGTGGCCCTCCAACTGCTGCGTCCACGACTCGACCACTCCCGATCGCATTCGTGACCATATACGAATCGTCATAGGTAAAAGCCCTAAGACCCGATCACCTCCTGCTGGTTTGCCCGCGATCGCGCCGATGGTGCCTAGGACTTGAGGAGGCCACATCAGATGGTCTTCGGCTAGCGCGATGATATCCAAAAAGTCGTACTTGGCCTGGTCAGGGAGCCTCTCGATGTCCAAGGGACCTATCGCATCGATACCTCGTGCCTTCTTGACCCCCATACGGTGGGTGGCTGCGTTGAGGTCCTGGATCGTGAGCTGTGGGAGGTCCTCTTGGGCCGCCGAGAGTCGGCAACGTCGAAGAGCGCCTGCAAGTGCTGTCTGTCTATGCGGGGCGGCCGTCCACTTCTTGGCCCAACTTTCGCTCTTGTGGCTCATGATGAGGATGGGGTCGGCGACGATCTTGCCTGAGATCATCTCCTCGAGCCGCGGCTGCTGCGTGTCCTTCGTCCACCTGTGCAGGGCTCCAGGGGTCTTCTTCCACATATCTTGCGCCCACCTGATGAAGCCCTTTGTGCCATCTGCCAGGGCTCTCCGCGCAGCTTGTCCTGCCAACCTCTCGGTGATCTCTATCACGTCCTCTCTCTCCTGACGGGCTGGGCTGAAAATGTCGTGCGCCATCTGCTGCCACTGGTTGAGCAGCTCGATATCGTTGTGCTTGCTGACCACATGTACCTGCTGTATACGCTGTCGAAACTCTTGCCCTCGTTGTAGCAGCTGCTGTGGGTCTTTGTTGTTTTTCACCAGGCCGTTGATCGCGATCACCTGCGTGTGCGTGATGGCCCACCAATCTGCCTCATAATTGTACAGATGCGGTCTGCCTGGCGATGCTGTGCTCTTTTTCCACTTGATGCCGAAACCCTGCGCCCTACCTCGATAGCCGTCTCGTTGGTGTTGGGGTACCTCTGAATGTTGCAAAACTGCCTCCTCCACGGCCTCGATCCACCTGCCGTAGCTGTTCGCCAACTTCTGCGCCAACAGTGGGCGATCACGATAGGCCTGAGGTCGCCAACGGTCCCCTCTGAGTTGAATATCTGGTGGGATGCCAGACAATCCCCATTTGGCATCCTCCCACGTAGCGCTACTGATGTGGAAGTTGATGGACGGTGAGTCCGCGCTTGGAGTCTGGGTTGTCGGGGATGTGTTCGTAGTCGTTGTGCCTGGATCCTGCTCAAGGAGGTCGAAACCATGCCGAAGTACAGGTTCCAGCTCTTCGCGTCTCTGTTGGCGTCGTACCTGCTGCTTACTCCACTTGCTGTCCAGGTCCTTCTGCTTCTTCGGCCTCGGCACCGTGGGCAACGCTTTGGGAATGTCCAGCGTGCGGTGCCACCATCGCTGCTTCTTGCCTGCCAGCCTGATGCGAAGCCCACAATGCGTCGCCCATGGTACTGTCAGCTCTTTGGCAATGGTAAGCCCTTCCTTGCAGCCCGCAGCGACGACGCCGTAGTCGTAGAGGGAGCCCTTGCCTTTGTCGCATGTGACCTCCTCTGGGCCCGCGACGATCTCGCCTCGCATCTGTTCAACCCAACCAGATGCGAGCAGCTCGGTGGGAAAGCAGTTCCAATCCGCCACGACGAGCCATGGGTCCTTCAGCAAGCGCACGAAGGCCGCGAGGGCTGCCATGACCTTTCGGTTCCTGCCCGCGAAACGCAGGGTCGGTAGTAGGTACGCCGCGATTATGATGAAATTGCCGATGCTGAGGTGCAGCACCATGGGGGAGAAACCGACGAAGGCCGAGTCCCCTTGCTTGTCGTGCTTGCCCTTCCAGTGCTCCAAGGACGTGGCCTGTATGTGTGTGCGCGTGGCGACGAGTTCACCCGCGGACCATCCTTTCTCTGACTTGCCACTGGGGACCGCGGGGGTAATCGCCGCCTTCTATCCTTCCTTCTGCAGGAACGTCTTCATGGCTGAGACTTGGTTTGGCCCCTTATGTGTCTCCACAAACGCCAGGCAATCGAAATGCTGCGCGGCTGGGCCTTGTACGTAATTCTGCACCTGTGGGCCCCGCTCCGTAATGTTGCCGAACAGGACCTGGAACTCCTCGCTCTGCTGCTGGGTGGACTGCGCCTCGCTAAAGCCCAGACTGCTCAGCGCCATCAGCCAGACCGTCAGCTTGCTCATGAGCTTCGCGAGCCTTGCGCCTCTCAGCCCGAGCCTGCTCCAAGGCTGCCTGATTGGCATCCCTGATCTTCTTCTTCTCGTCCTCGGGGTTGATGGCTGCCGCACCTGCGCCGTTGCTTGCGGTCGCTGGCGTTGCTGTGGTGGGTGCCTCTGGCGCAGGGGGTTCCTCTTCCACTGCCTCTGCCTTGGGTCCTTCTGCTCCTGCTTCGACAGTACGCTTCTTTTTGGGGGCCTGCATGGCCTTATTTGCCTTCTGGTGGATCTCCTCAATGTACTTGAACTTCGCCTGCAGGGTGCCCAGCTGCTCCTTCTGGAACTGCTCCAGCTCGCTCTTCCACTGCATGATGCTGTCCATCTCCTCGGACGGTATGTCGCGCTCCTCGAGGCCCTCGAAGAGCGAGCCGTCGTACTCGAACTTGACGTTGAGGGTCTTCTCTTCGGGTCTGACCACGATGATGCCCGACTCCTGGTTGGCCTGTTGGAGCGCCGTGAGATGCCGCTGCTGCACCTCGACCCTCTGCTGGGCCAACTTGTCCATCTTCTCGAGCTGGTCGTCCAAGTACAGCTGCGCGCCCGTGAGCTTCGTCCGCTGCTTCTCGATGCGATTGTCCAGCTCCTTGAGCGCGCGATTGGCGTCAGCCAGCAGCTGGGCGCCTGTGCGCTGCTTGGGTGGGGCTGGTGCAGGCTTGGCGTTGGCCTCCTCCTCTTGGGCTTTGCGGCGCAGCGTGTCCAAGGCGGCCGTGATGGTGGGGTCGCTCTTCTCGCCGACGCCCTGGTACGCAGCCAAGCTCGTGATGAGGGAGACCGTGGTGATCGGGTCGGACTGTCCGCCATCGCCCATCTGCGCCTCCACGGTGTCCCAGCCTGCCGTGGTGCTTGCGTACGTGGAGTGCCGCCACGGTGCCCATTTCTTCCACTGCCGTCCCGAGCGTGGCCAACCCGCAGAATGAGGTCCATTCTGTGCCCAAACTCCAGACGGTGGCGGTGGGACGCCGACGGTGGGGCGGAGCTTCGCCTTGCACTTGAAGCACTCGACTTTGCTGCTCCAGTTCCACTTGTAGCCGCACGCTTTGCACCCAATATACCCCGCTGCTTTGCCATCGCCTCCCATGCCGCGGGTCGCTGAGCAACAGGAGTGCTCACCTGCGGGCTGCAGGCGGCACGCAGAGTCCTGGGGCGGACCAGGCTCTGCGAAACAGACGGGGTATGCCGCGGACTAGCGGTATCCAGTTTCGCCAATGCGGGCTCCGCCCGCAGAAGCATCAGCCTTGAGCCAAAATGGCTACGGAAGGGGGAGGAGGAGGAGGAGGAGGAGGAGGAGGAGGAGGAGGAGGAGGAGGAGGAGGAGGAGGAGAGGAGGAGGAGGAGGAGGAGGAGGAGGAGGAGGAGGAGGAGGAGCCCGCGGAGCGCCGCCGAGGAGACGAGGCGCGCCCGGTCGGCGGGTCGGCGGCGCGTCCTCCGCCAGCAGCTGGCGCGCGGGCCCCTCCGAGGCCACCAGGGCGGCCCAGCTCAGCGCCGAGGCCACCAGCGCGGCCCGCGTGTGCGGGTCCCGCACGGCCCGCCTCTCGAAGGAGGGCAGGAGATCCACCCGTGCAGGCAGATGTTGGACGAGACATTTCAAAGAGTGGCCAACACGTGCCACAAGATGAGGGTCCACAGAGATGGTCGAGGCATCGTCCCCGGGGCTACCTTTGGATGGTTGTTGAGCAGTCCTCCTGTAGAGGGACGTGCCCCAGTTGATCCCAGCTCCGCGGGCGATGAGTGTAGAGGTCAAAAAATCCACCCCGATCATAACCACCCCGACACGCGAAGCCGTCCTTTCGTCCACGCGCCCGAAGAAGGAATCGAGCAGGGCAGGGCTGCTTGGTACACGCCCGGGGCCGTTTCGCAAACGCCAGTTGTCCGGTCGGTCCGTCGCGGGGCTGCAGGGAGCGGATCTGTGATCCTCCGATCGCGTGCTCAGAGGCCTCCCAGACGGGGCCCGAGCAGATGGGGTCGGAGGATCGCCGACGCATCGCCGATGCATCGGCGATGCATCAGCGACGTCGGCGCGGAGAAGGTCGGGCTACATATCGAGCAGCATCGCCGATGCATCGGCGATGCGTCGCGACCCTCCGACCCCAGCTGCTCGGACCCCACCTAGGAGGCCCTAAGAGTGTGAGCGCCAACGCGTGCTTGTCCACCGAGGCCCTTCAATGCGACGCTGCCAGCTCGTCGACGGCGGACACGGGCTGTGCGCTACCGGAGGAGCTGAGCGGGGTAACACACACACACGATTGTGCTACCACACGTCCTCAGGACAAAACAGGCGCAAGGGGAGGGGGGGATCATTTCGTTCTGTCCCCGCTCCTCCCCCAAATCTCCGACTAAACGATCTTGAATACATTTTGGCCTCCTGCGCCGTTTTCGGACAGGGGCGAAAAACGAAGCACCCTCGGGGAAGTGGGTGGGACTTTCAGGGCCGCGGGTTGAAAAATTCCGCTGACCCTGTCGGCGTGTGTGAGAGGGAGAGAAGAAATGTTGTTCTCTTTGAGTCGCCCCGTCTCTACTCTCCCCCTTTCCCTGCTCAGTCTTCCTCAAGCGACCCAATCAGACAAAAATCGAACAACGTCGTAAAAGGGTCGAAGGGGAGCTTGTTTCCCTTTGATCCGTTCCCCGCGTCCCCCCCCTCCCCAGGGGGGGGTCGTGACCCCCCTCTCTGACAAAGACGGCCCAAGAGAGCCCCACTGAGCCGCAAGAGCGTGAACACCAATCGAGTCGAAGGGAAAACCCTTGATCCCTTCCCCGCCTGGGGGGGCGGTTCTGGGAGGGGATCAATGAGGACTGTCCATGCCCCTCTCCCTCCCCTCATCCGCGTCCTCCTCCGCCGTCTCCCCGCTGCACCCTCCTCCGCGTCCTCCTCCTGCTCTTCCGCCTCCTCCAGCCCGCGCCGCCCGTGGACCTGCCGGGGCCGACGGCACAACAAGGGCCACGTGCAGCAAGGCAGTCCTGGCCCTCATCTGCCTCCTCCTCCTCCTCCTCCTCCTCCTCCTCCACAATCGTCCTCGCCCTCCCCCATCATCCTCCTCCGATCCTCTAGGGGGTAAAATTACACTGCGACGTACCCAACCCACGTGCATCAAATGGCAAGAGGAGTATGCCAACATTAGCAGGAACAACGACAGTGCAGACGCGGCGATTTGCTGTGCAAGCTACATGGGATGCGCATGCGTTGCACGATTCACAGGACGACGATCGAAAGAACGAGGCTTGAGGCCCCAGGATCGAAGAAGAACGGGTACGGAAACGAGGGGTCGGAGAGGGATGGGATGGAGGGCGGGGGGGGCGAAAAGGCCATCGCGGAAGCAGCAGCATGCATGGAGAAGGTGAGGCGGGGAATAGGACGACGATGAAAGTGGCGGGCTAAACCCGCAGCGCTGCCTGCGCCATGTCGTCGCAGAGTTCCACATGATAAAACTTGTTTAGATTGCAAGGAACGAGCGAGGCGTAGCTCGCCCGCTAGCTTCCCCGCCTCCTTCCCGCACATTTCAGCGCGGGAGCTGAACGCTCGCAGGCGCGCCGCCAGGTCTGCGGGCGGCCCGCGGGAAAGAAACTCAAGGCCGGGGTCGCGTATCATCAATCGGTTGTCCATCGTCCAAAGTTGCACTGGCGACGTACTGGTTGAACGCGGAGCGAGCAGCATCACGCGCGTGCCTGAACGCCACGCAGGTACAGTGCACGCGCGATTGGGACTTCAGGTCGATCACGCGCGTCTCCACCAGGCTTGGCAACACCACGCGACTGAGGATCTCACTGCGGTCTGCCATGCTGCTGTCCGCGAATGCAATGCGCTGCCTGCAAGTAAGGTGGCGGCGTCCACTTGTCTCAGAAGATGTTCCCGCGGGCCCGAAGGGCGACCGCCAGCTCGAGCCGCGGCGCCGGCAGGCCAGATAAGGATCATGCAACAGCAAAGACGATGACAGAGCAACGAGGTATCGGCGAGTGCATGACCGGCCTCCGTTTCCTGCACTTCTTTCCTGTAGTTCCCCTAGCTCATCGAGCTCAGCAGATGTTTCTGCGGGTCCGAAGGACGACCGCCAGCTCGAGTCGCAGCGCCACGTGGCACGAACCGCAGAGCAAGGGCACGCGAGCATTGCTCGTGGTCAGAATCTGACTCCCCGTGGTGCCTCACTCCGCTGGCCACCCACCAGCAGCCCTCGAAAGTGGCGACAGTTTCACAGATCGCAGCCGCCCAGGGGTGGCGAGGTCTAATCTGAGTCCCCGTGGTGCCTCACTCCGCTGGACCCACCAGCAGCCTCGAAAGTGGCGACAGTTTCACACAGGGATGGCGAGGTCTAATCTGAGTCCCCGTGGTGCCTCACTCCGCTGGACCCACCAGCAACCCTCGAAAGTGGCGACAGTTTCACAGATCGCAGCCCCCCAGAGATGGCGAGGTCTAATCTGAGTCCCCGTGGTGCCTCACTCCGCTGGACCCACCAGCAGCCCTCGAAAGTGGTGACAGTTTCACATATCGCAGCCCCCCAGAGATGGCGAGGTCTAATCTGAGTCCCCGTGGTGCCTCACTCCGCTGGACCCACCAGCAGCCCTCGAAAGTGGTGACAGTTTCACAGATCGCAGCCCCCCCCAGAGATGGCGAGGTCTAATCTGAGTCCCCGTGGTGCCTCACTCCGCTGGACCCACCAGCAGCCCTCGAAAGTGGCGACAGTTTCACAGATCGCAGCCCCCCCCCCCCAGGGATGGCGAGGTCTAATCTGAGTCCCCGTGGTGCCTCACTCCGCTGGACCCACCAGCAGCCCTCGAAAGTGGTGACAGTTCCGCAGATCGCAGCCCGCCAGGGATGACGTGAAAGGCAAGAGAAGAGAAGAGGAGGAGCGAAGAGAGGAGGAGAAGGCAAGCAAGAGAGGAGAGGAGGAGGGAAGAGAGGGGGGGGGCGGGAGGAGGAGAACGGAGACCGCAGTGCTCTATTCAAAACGAGTACCCAACGCAGGAGGGTTGGGAAAAAACCGAAACCGCTACTCCATGGATCTCTCCAGGGGTGCGTCCTGACCAGCACTTTGAAGCGAGTCTAACCGTGGCTCGGGCCCCCCCCACAACTCTGGGCCCCTTCCCGGGGACCGGTTCTCATCCTGGATCGTGCTTGATGATCCCGGCGCCCAGCGGTCCAAGGGCCCCGCAAGGCTGAAAGTGGCGGAACCGCTCCGAACACGCAGGCGGAACGGGATCCTCATCCCCCATGCTCCTCCCCCACCTGCTGCTCCCTTCCCCAACGACGTCCGTCGGTGGTGGTGGCCCGCCTGATGGCCCGGGGGCCGTACTCTGGCCAGTCGCCCGCTCGCCGGCCCGCCCAGCTCCTCGGGCGGGGGGGGGGCGGAGTTGGGGGCGCCCAAGAGGGACAGGGGTTGCAAATCCTGGCGTGAGGCACGTGCGCGACCTGGAAGGGGCTGTGTCGAGATCACAGGGGGGGGCCATGCCACCCAGGGAGAGCCGATGGCCTCGGCCAGGATTCGGGCGCTGGCAGAACTGGGTTTAGTGGGACCTGGTTTAGTTATGTGTGCTGGGGGGGGCCCCCCCGCTCCGTTCCACTAGCCGGAACTGCCGTCACCCGAACAAAACACGAGCCACGGCAGACCTGGTTTGGTGATTCTGGCCGATTCAGGGGCTCCGGGGCCCTACCACGAACCGGGTCCCCTTACCTGGGGTCCTGGCTATACCCGAAGGATGTCCACCTCCAGGATCAGAGGGAGGGGCGGGCGCAACGGAGGCGGGGGCCGCCGGCACACGTCCACCACGACAGCCCTCGCCCCCGGCCACCGCTTCCTCTCCCCATCCCCTGCCCCTGCCAGGCCGTCACTACCGCATCCCTCGCCTAGCGCCTCTCTCCCTCCTTCTCCTCCCCCTCCTCCTCCTCCTCCTCCTCCTCCTCCTCCTCCTCCTGCAGTCCGTTTCCTTCTAAATAACTTCCCCCTGTTGCACCCCGAGGCCAGTCGGAAGGGCGGGCCGGGCGTTTCGTTTAAGGCTTCCCCACCAGTTATGACCACGAAGCCTAGAACATGGGCAACAGTGTCACGGAAGGACCGCTTCCAAAACGTTGCTGTCGCCTTGGCGCCGCGCACATTTGTCTTTACCGAATTGTACGAGGTTCGCATATTGAGGTCTGGCCGTCTTTTTTTAATGTGGCTCTCGCTGTAAAGCCGCGCACATTCGTTTTGAACATGTGCACGAGCTTCACGGATAGAGGGCGGTTCATTTTCAACATGAGGCTCTCACCTTAGCGCCGCTCACATTCGTCTTAAGAACTTGCAGGAGCATCACGGTTTCCCATGGTCAACATACCAAAAATTGCGTTCTGCAACGAGTCAAGACTGTCAGGGCGCAACACTGATGTTGACTTGCGGCGTTGAACTCCCAGGAATGGCGTCATGGCACGGTTCGGGATGGTCAAGACGCATCAATCAAGTTGAGTCGTGGCGTTGAAGTTCCGAGAATCCAGGATCTTCAGGATCTTCCAACGGTTGTCTCCCAGCAGCGCACTTCCATAACGGACATTGATCCTTGTATGGGGCCCATGAGGAAGGAGTTTGGAGGGAGGGTTTATCCCGACATCGTTGACGCTCTCTCAATCCCCCCTCCTCCTCCTCCTCCTCCTCCTCCTCCTCCTCCTCCTCCTCCTCCTCCTCGCGTCGGTCGGGTTCCCCGATGGGCCAAGCAGTGCTGGCCGCGGGGCTGACCAGGCACAAAGTGCACTGCTCCGGACGAAAACGGCTGCTAGCGTAGGGTCGGGCGTGCCCTCCTCCAGGGGGGAGTTTGGACGAAACAATGAAACATAGGCAACAAAAATACTCCCAAATGAAAAATAACTGAAAAAATCCCCCCGTGACTATTTTTGGCCTATTTTTGGACATTCCTCCTGTAGAGGGACGTGCCCGACGCAGAGCTGGCGGACCCGTGCGCCCCCCTGGCAGGTCGCCACAAGGGGGGAGGCGGGTCCACTGGGGGAAGCGGGCGTCCGGAGGTCTCTCGCCGCTTGCAGGCCCCCGGGGCCCTCCAGGGGCCCCGGGGGCTGGCAGAGAAAAACGGCTCCGGGGTGAAGGTCGCGTCCCTGGGCATCGCTCGGGCGTCCATTCCCTGCGTTTTTGTTCGGTTTCGTGCGCGGCTTTTTCGCCAAAGGATCAAGGATGCTCCTCGATGGCCCTCGCCGAGGAAAAAATGCACACGTCCGAGCGATGCCAAGTGTCAGAAAAAACGGCTCGGGGTGAAGATCGCGTCCTGGGGGAAGGCCCCCGGGTCCAGGACTCGTTTCCCTCAGGGCCCGTCTCCTGCGTGTTAGAGCAGGGGAAGGTGGGGAGAGAGGGCGGGGGAAGGGAGAGGGGGAGGCCGTCAAGCTAGGCGCGCAAGCGCCACATCTGGGGTCCTCGACGCATGGTATAGCACGGCATGGCATGGCATGGCGTCGAGAACGCGACTCATGTCGACGACGAGGTCAGAGGGCCGTTGAGAGTGCTGTGTTGCACGCCCGAACAAAATGTAGCCCTTCCAGACCTCCGACGTCGCATGTTCTCACGTGGACCCCCAAAAGGTTTGCACCCCTGTCCGTCGGAGCCGCTTCTGGACGGGGCCCCCCAGAGGGCGACAGCGGTGAAAACCTGCCGCCGTGATCCTTGACTTAGATCGGGTGTGTCCCCCTACAGGCGGATTTTGGAGCAGAAATGCAAAACAATTTGTTTTTGATTCGCGGGTCGAGAGCGCACCTCTTCCGGTCCAAGCTAAGCGGGCCGCGCGAAGCGTGAATTAACCAGAGATGGGGAGGCAGAAATACAAAACAAAAAATCAACAAAGACCCAGACATCCGCCAAAATACAAACAAAACAAAAAAAAAAAAAGTCCCCAGACTATTTTGGGACTCCTGTAGACGGACAGGCCCGACTTTCTCCTTGACGCGCGACGCGAACGACCCTGGGCCGCTCCGCCCCCCCGCGCGCTGCCGGACGCCGAGCGGCGGGAAGGTCCGGGGCGGGGGGGGGGGCCGGCCGGCTCGGGAGGGGCAGTGCCGAGCTTGAGTCGGGGATGCAGCGCCGATGGATCGGCGGTGCTAGGGGGGAACATGCGAACCCTACCCCTACCCCCCACGATTTCTGAGGGGGAGGGTGGGGTTCACTTCGCTCGGGAACTCCCGAACGAAGTGAACCCCACCCTCCCTCTCAAAAATCGTGGAGGCTAGGGTTCGCATGTGACCCCCTAGATGGGCCCCTGACAGCGAGCGTCTGGGGACACCAAGAGGTGCCGATGCCGCTGCTCCCCGGACCTCTCCTGGGGTGCGTTCGGGCCAGGATCTCGAGGCGAATCCAGCGCTGGCGACGACGGAGGCCCAGGACGCCCAAAGAGGGGACAACGAGGGGAGGGTAGAGGTGTGAGTACCTTGTCCTCCTCTGAGAGTCCCCACGTTCCCAGGCGGGGTGGGCTATTCGACGATGAATTGGCGATTGGGGGCCGGCGCGCTTCCTCTTGAGCCGGCTTTCGGGTCATGACTTGGGCATCCAGCGGCCATTCCTGACGGTTCCGGCACCCCCAGAACGCCCTCGACGCAAACCAACCAACCTGGGCCCCGAAAGCTTTCGCAAAAGTCCGGGCACTTGGAGAACGCAAACCGCTCTGAGCAATCCCCCCTGACGTTGCCCCTAAGACTCTCGGGTGGGGGAATGCGAGACGGGGATCGATCAATCACCAACGCCTGGGGGATCGACCTCTAGGGACCTCGGCGGACGGATGTGAATATACCTGCCACCCCGAAGGCCTGGATACATCTATATGGATATATTTTCCATAGAAGTATGCACGTATGCGTCTGTACATGTAATATGTTTCAACATACTATATATGTGTAAGAAGACATGTACCTCATAGTGTATATGCATGTGCCCATATGTATGTATGTATCTATATATACATATATTATCGTTGGTTGGGGGTGAGATCGCAGCGGGACGGAGACCCCCAACCGGGGAATCGTTTCGTTTCGTTCGTGTCGCGCGTGCGGGCGAGGCGAAGCTGCGTGGGCGCGCGAGAGGAATGAACCCGCCACTGCTAGGGCGAAGTCAAAACAAATGATTATACCCCGCCTGTCCGGCGGTGGCTCGCGGTGTCCCGTGGTGTCCGTCGTTGCTAGGGCGAAGTCAAGACAAATCATTATACCCCGCCCGTCCGGCGGTGGCTCGCGGTGTCCCCCGGTGTCCCCCGGTGTCCCGTGGTGTCCGCCGTTGCTAGGGCGAAGTCAAGACAAGTTATTCTCCCACGCCCGCCCGTCCGTCCGTCCGTCCGGCGGTGGCTCGCGGTGTCCCGCGGTGTCCTGTGGTGTCCCGTGGTGTCCCCTTGAGTGAGATCGATAGTGAGATCGATAGATCGTGAGACCGTTAGTGAGATCGATGTGGTGCCCCGAGGTGTCCCAAAACATGAGATCGATAGTGAGATCGATGCTGAGATCGACAGGTGTCCCGTGATGTCACGTGGTGTCTCGTTGAGTGAGATTGATAGTGGGATCGATAGTGCTATCGATAGTGAGATCGATACTGAGATCGATGTGGTGCCCCGAGGTGTCCCGTGGTGTCCCAAAAAGTGAGATCGATAGTGAGATCGATAGTAAGATCGACCGGCGTCCCGTGGTGTCCCGAGGTGTCCCGTTGAGTGAGATCGATAGCGAAATCGATAGTGAAATCGATAATGTCCCGAGGTGTCCCGTGGTGTCCTATGGTGTCCCGTTGAGTGAGGTCGATGGTGAGGTCGATAGTGAGACCGATAATGAGATCGAGAGGTATCCCGCGGTGTCCCGTGGTGTCCCGTTGAGTGAGATCGATAATTAGATCGATCTGTGTCCCGTGGTGTCCCGTTGAGTGAGATCGACAGTGAGATCGATTGAGTCAGATGTTGGTTCCCCCCCTCTCCCCCCCAAACCTCCTCATCCCCCGAAGAGTGGTCGTATAGGTGTATTTATATACATATACCTATACGACCACCCTTCGGGTGATAAGGAGGTTCGGGGGGGGGAGGAACCAACGTCTCACTCGATCGGTCTCACTATCGATCTCCCTATCGATCTCACGATCGGTCTCGCTCGATCGATCTCATTCGATCGATCTCACAATCGATCTCACTCGATATATCTCATTCGATCGATCTCACAATTGATCGGACTATCGATCTCACAATCGATCTCACAACCGATCTCGCAATCGATCTCACATTCGGTCTCACTATCGATATCACTATCGATATCACAATCGAACTCACAATCAACGTCATCATGGTCATCCTCATCACCATCATCATCAACAACATCATCATCATCGGGGCACCGTTATCATCATCATCATCATCATCATCATCAACGTCATCATCATCATCTCCAACATCATCATCATCATCATCGGGACACCATCATCATCACCATCACCATCATCATCCCATCCTCATCACCATCATCATCATCATTATCAACATCATCATCATCATCATGGGGGCAGAGTCATCGTCATCATCATCAACAGCATCATCACCATCACCATCATCATCTTCATCATCAGGACACCATCATGATCATCATCGTTATCATCATCAACATCATAATCAACATCATCATCATCGGGACACCATCATCACCGTCATCATCTCATCATCATCATCGACATCATCATCATCATCAGCATCATCATCCTCATCGGGGCACCATCCTCATCATTACCAACATCATCATCATCACCATCATCATTTTCATCATTATCATCATCGGGACACCATCATCATCACCATCATCATCATCAGCATCACCATCATAATAATCATCATCATCGGGACACCATCATCATCATCAACATCATAATCATCATCCACATCATCATCATCATCACCATCGTCATCTGGACACAATCATCATCATCATCATCATCATCATCATCATCATCATCATCATCATCGGGACACCATCATCGTCATCATCATCATCATCAACATAATCATCATGATCATCATCGTCCTCATCATGGGGACACCCTCATCATCATCATCATCATCATCATCCTCATCGACATCATCATCCACATCATCATCATCATCATCATCATCATCATCATCATTATCATCATCTTGATCGGAGCACCATCATCACCATCTCATCATCATCATCATAATCATAATCATCATCAACAACATCAACATCATCATCATCACCAACATCAACATCATCATCATCACCATCATCACCTTCATCATCACCATCATCATCATCACCATCATCGGGACACCGACGGGACACCGACGGGACACCGGCGGGACACCGGCGGGACACCGCGGGCCACCGGCCGCCCGGAAGGGAGTCATTTGGTCCGGCCGCGCCTCAGCCACACGGGACACCAGCGGGACACCGGCGGGACAACGCGGGCCACCGGCCGCCCGGAAGGAAGTCATTTGGTCCGGCCGCGCCTCAGCCACAGGAGACTTTCTCTCGCCCGCCCACGCAGCTTCGCCTCGCCCGCACGGCACGCACGAACACGAAACCGAAAACGATTTCCCGGTAGGGGGGCTCTCCGTTCCACTTCGATCTCACCCCCTCACCTCCGATATAGATGTAAATATATCCATGGCCACCGCCTGTACAGGTGCCCGAGGATCTATCCCCCGGGCGGTGCTTATGGATAGAACCTGTTCTTGCATTCTTCGTAATAGCGGGCGTGAGCGGGGGAAGGGAGGGGGGGGAGGTCGTCCCGCCCGAGCACATCACGGCAGTGGGCCGCCAGAAGTCTTAGGAAATCCCAGAGAGAATCCTTTGGACATCTTTGCAAACGTGGGCAAAATGGCGTGACGTGATCCGGCGGGGGGGAGGGAGGGAGAGGGCCGATCACGGCGTTGCTTTATCGCCCAGACCTTCCGAAACAGGCTCATACATCCCCGCCTCCCAGACCCCCGACGTCATGACTTTTTCCTGACGTCGACCCCCGAGGTCTCGACCTCTTCCCTGGGGTCAGCTTCTCATCCCGAGTCGTCTTCTGACGGCCCCGAGGCCCGGTGAGGGCCCCCAGAGGCCGAAAATGGCGAAAACCTCCCGTCATGATTTTTTCATTGCCTGGGGGTCCCTGCTCGCAGCGAGGCTTAGGTCGGACGTGTCCCTCAAAAGGAGTAATATTCAAAAATAGCAGAAACAAATCAGATGGGAACGATGTTTTGATATTGTTTCACTACTTTTGAGAATCTCGCCATCGCTCGGACGTCCATTCCCTGTGTTTTTTGTCGGTTTCGTGCGTGGCTTCTTCTCCAACTGATCGAGGATGTTCCTCGACGGTCCTCGCCGAAGCAAAAATGCACACGTCCGAGCGGTGCCAAGAAATTGTTATGCGGGACGGGAAAATGACTACAGCCACTGCTTCTTGTTTGCTCCGCCTTCCAGCCGGCCGAAAAAGAAGCAGTGGTTGTGGTCATTTCCCAGGTGCCAAGCTCAACGAAAATGACCACAACCACTGCTTTGTTTCTGCGGGCTGGAAGGCGGCAACAGAAGAAAAGCAGTGGCTGTCGTCATTTTCACGCCCCGCATGTTAGAATATTTGTGCTTTTCGTCCAACATCCGCCCGTAGGGGGGGCATGCCCGACCTCAGGCGAGGCCAGGGCCGCCGCCCCTCCCTCGGGCAGGGACCGACCGTCCTGGCACTCCTGTGGGCTTACCACGAACTGCTCCTAGAACCCACTCATGCTCTGAGAACAAGAGCAGTGTTCTGAGAACGTACGCCCCATGCGTTACAACAAGACCGCCCCAGCCAGGAATGCTCTGAGAACGCTCCGTCCAAGCCACCAAAGGGTCTTAGGACACTCTTCGGTGGGCCTATGTATGGGCACGCCAGGGCGCTTCGCCACTGCTTGCCTCCCGCGCCGCGGGAGCTCCGGCGAAGCTTGCGCTGCGCCCGGCGGCCCCGCCGCCCGCCGCCCACGGGCGCGAGCACGGCGAGGAGCCCCGTGGCGAGCAGCACGTAGACCTGGCGGGCCCGCCGCCAGCGCGGGAGGCAGCCCACGACCCGACGACTCCAGGACGGCGACGACGACGCCGACGACGACTCCACGACGACGACGACGACTCCACGACGACGACGACGACGACGACGACGACGACGACGACAACGGCGGCGGCGGCGACGACGACAACGGCGGCGGCGGCGACTTGGAGGCCTGGAGTTGGCTCTAAGCGGACACGGCTGCGGTCGGCAGGCCGGGAGCTGGCGGGGGGGGGTGGGAATGGGGAGGGAGAGGGAGCTCGGGCCCCCCTCCCGCCTCGCCCACCTGCTCCCTCGCTTTTGCCTGCGGCTCGTGCCCCCTCCCGCCTTCCCCACCTGGTCCGTCGCTTCCGCGCCCCCCTCCTCCTTCCCCTCCTCCTCCTCAACCAGTTCCTCCACGTCCCCACTCCCTCCCCCCCCCGTCTCCCATCCTTCGTCCTCCTCCGCCTCCTCCCCGTCCTCCACCCTTCCCCGATCCTTCTCCATCCTCCTCCATCCTCCATCCTCCTTCCCGTCCTCCGTCCATCTCCATCCTGCACCGCCTTTTCCTCGTCCTTCTCCTCCTCCCTCCGTTCATTCCGTTGGTGCGCAGGCTCTCCCTCGCGCAGGACAGGGAGAGAAAGGATAATGACAGGGAAGATAAAATTGATCACGACCTAGAGGAAAGGGGGCAGGATAAGAGAGCAAAGGAGGAGGACATGGGGGAACATGGGTGAGAGAAGGGAGGGAGGAGGCGAGAAGAGCAGGGACGTGGAACATGAGGCACTGCGCTGTCCTCTTCCTGAGACTGCTCGTGAGGCCCCGTCTGCCTGAGGAGGAGGAGGAGGAGGAGGAGGAGGAGGAGGAGGCGCTGGAGGGGAGACGGTTGGGAACATGGAGGACGGCGGAGGAGGGAGGGAGGAGGAAGGACGCTGATCCTCCCTCGGTGCCCCCTCCTCCCGCTGTCACACGGAGCGCCGCGCGAGGAGAACTTCCAAGGCCACGCTGCTCCCGCTCCTCCTGCTTCTCCTCGCCCGGTGCCCCTCCTCGCCCCCCTCCTCGTGCCACCGGGGTTGGGCTGGGCAGGCCCTCCCACAGGCGGATTTCGGAGGAACGAAAACAACAATACGCCAACAGCGCCCACACATAGTCAAAACATGCTCGAGAAAAAATCCGTCGCCAGATTACTTCTTGACTATGTCTGAACATTCCTCCTGGAGAGGGGCAGGCCCGACTTGAAAATTTACGAGGAGGGAGCGCCCAGCAAAGGACCAGTCGTGGTGTTGGCTCCTTGGCCGAGGCCGCGGCGAGCCTCCGCCCCGCACCGAGGAGGCCCCCCCCGCCTGGATCCTCGCAGAGGCACAGGCCCGAGAACCGGCGCCATGGCCCGGAGCCAGCGGGGCCCTGACTCCAGCAGCAGGGGGAGGGGGACGAGTCACTGGCAGTAGCAGCATGCGAGGCGAGGATTTATCCATATCCACCGCATGGGAACCGACGTCCTGTTGCCCCAGCGGGCGGTGGATATGGATATATTTTGGCCCCTGGGGGCCCGAATCTGTCCATCTCCACCGCCTGCCGAGGTCCCCGAGAATTGATCCTCCAGGCGGTGGTCATGGTTAGATTCCCGCCTCCTTTGGACTGCAGTCGGGCGTGTCGCCCTTCAGGGGGATCTTGGCCTCGCACAGACCCAGACCCCCTCCGAGTTATGAAAAATCACGACGGGAGTTTCTTCATTACTTTTGGCCTCTGGGGGCCCTTACCGGCCCTCGGGACCGCCAAAAAACGACTCAGGACGAAAAACCCGTCCCGGGGAATGGGTCCAGACAGCTGGGGGTCGACGTCATGAAAAATGCACGACGTCGGGGGTCTGGTGGGGAGGAGGTCCCCCCACCTGGATGCTCGCAGAGGCAAGGCCCGGGAACCGGCGCCGAGGCCCAGGACCAGCGCGGCCCTCACTCCCAGCCTCTCGACGGCAGTCCGGGGCCCTCTGGGCACTCTCTGAGGGTGGAGGGCTCAGGGTGAACTCCATCTGGGCCTTCGCATTTCGAAGGTCGATCCGTCTTGTGATTCACCCTTTGCAGATTCAAATCCGCACGCAACACGTGCGGATTTGAATCTGCACCGATACGCAACACGTGACACGTGGCGCATTGATGCGGAGCTCAACACGTGGACTGAAAACGTAGGTCCGACGCGATACGTTCGCCAAAACGTGGGCCGATATGTGGAGCCAACACGCAACGTGTTGACACGGACGTCTTCAACACGGGACGTGTTGCGTTTCAAAACGTGCGTATCGAGGCAACTGAGTTCAAGTCCTCACTCCAGCGCGTCCTCACTCCAGCCCGGAGCCGGCGCGGTCCTCCCTCTCAGCCTCTTGACCTAAGTCGGGCGTGTCCTCCTACAGGGGGACTTTGGACGACAATAATGCAAAAAAGACCCTCCAAAATATTCAAAACTAGCCAGAAGATTCTCCCAAAAACGTGCCCAGACTATTTGTCGACTGTTTTTGAAGATTCCCCCTGTAGGCGCTCGAAATTCGTCCTGGTGATCCAGGCTAAAGCAGGTTGGAACATCATAAGCCCATGGCTGAACCTAAACGCTGGTTTGTTTTCCGTCCCGTACCCGTTTTGCTTTTCGTTCCGCTCTCCCTGTGATCCTGCGCCTCCCTGCCAAAACGAAGAACAAAACACAGCCGAAGCCCAACAAAACAAACGTTTATTCCAAATCCCATATATTAATTGACCCCCCCAAAAAAACCGGACCCCCCTCCAAATGCGACCTAACATTCCGGACCCCCCTCTTCGACGGGGCGCTTTAATAAACCCGACCCCCTAAGCTCCAATCCAGAGAAAGCGCCCTCATAAACCGGACCCCCCCCGTTACAAATAAGGCGCCCTAGAAAACCGGACCCGGGGGACGATTGATACGGGACTTGGAGCAGGTCCAGCCCTGCTGCAGTCCCCCTCCCTCCGACTGCCCCCCTCGGCGCACGTGCGGGGCGTACGGCGCGTGGGACCCCCCGGCGGCCTGCATCCAGTTGGCCACGCGGAGGTCGAAGCAGGCGGCCCCGTGGGGGCACGGCGGCGTCTGCCACGCCTCCCAGTAGCCGAGCTGCCCGAAGGGCACCTCGGTCGCCTCCTCCTCCTCCTCCTCCTCCTCCTCCTCCTCCTCCTCCTCCTCCTCCGCGCCCCCCTCCTTTTGCTGCACCTCCTCCAACCATCGACGATTCACAGGACCGCCCCGCCAGAACGCCATTCGGTGAAAGCTGCGACGGCTGCCAGGGGCCCTCCGCGGGTGCGCGGCACCGCGCTCCGAGTGCACCCAGGCGGGAGTTTTTCTTGCTAGTAAGAATTTGGGCGATGTTTATGCATCATATCCAATGCATCTTGGACTTTCTTGGAAGGGGAGCCGCAAGGCCGAGACGCACTGGATATGGATAAATATCGTGCCTCTAGGGGCCAGCTCTTCATCCATATCCGGTGCGCCTCCTCGGCATTCGGGGAGAGGAAGCCCGAAACTCCAGGCTGCAGTGGACATGGACACACATCTTGCTAGCATTAGTGGTAACCGTCGTTACCCCGAAAGGGGGGGGGGGGTCGCCATGAAGGAACGGGTCCTGACGGAATCGGGTCCTGTTTTTGTTCGCCACTTTTGGCTTCCTGGGCACTCCACGGGCCCCGGGGCTGCTCAGAAAACGATCCAGGAGGGAGAACTGGTCCTGGGGAAGGCCCCCCTGCGTGTTCAGGACCCGTTGCCCTCGGGAGCCGCTTCCTTCATGCCAAGGGAAGGGGGGCCGGGGGCCCCCGGCATCGGTGTAACGCTTGGGCGGGGTGGAGCACGTCGGGGCGGGGGTGCCCTGCGACCGCCACACCATGCGCGCGCGGGCACCAACGTGCGGGGCGGGATAGGGTCCAAGCCTCCCTCATGTGTACCACCGTTACCATTGTCCAGAGGCGGGGGGGGCCGGGTAACGACGGTACCGCGCCAGAGAATAAAGGAGACATCAATCAATCTCCATAACAACTAGCCGACGTCCGACAACTACCGAACGCATCCGGCAAAACATGCGTCGATTCGCGAGCTGACGGGGGGCTGCGCTGGCACACTGCGATTAACCGTGTCGAGTGAAAAGGTACATACTTTCTAGATCGACTTGCCTCGGTGGAAGCTCCCGCAATACATGATATGATCTGTCCTTCTCGATTCCTGGTGCCAGAGTCCCCCCCCTCCTCCTCGTCCTCTTCCTCCTCCTCCTCCTCTTCCTCCTCCTCCTCCTCCTCCTCTTCCTCCTCCTCCTCCTCTTCCTCCTCCTCCTCCTCCTCTTCCTCCTACTCCTCCTCCTCCTCCTCCTCCTCCTGCTCCTCCTCCCCCTCCTCCTCCTCCTCCTCCTCTCTTCCTCCCCCTCTCCTCTCCTCATCCTCCTCCTCCTCCTCCTCCTCCTCCTCCTCCTCCTCCTCCTCCTCCTCCCCCTCCTCCTCCTCCTCCTCCTCCTCCTCCTCCTCCTCCTCCTCCTCCTCCTCCTCCTCCTCCTCCTCCTCCTCCTCCTCCTTCCTCCTCCTCCTCCTCCTCCTCCTCCTCCTCCTCCTCCTCCTCCTCCTCCTCCCCCTGCCTCAAGCTGCACGCACGAGCGACACTGCGCATGCACGGGTGGCCTTTCGTGCGCGCATGTTTGGGGGGCAGCGGGGCGGGGAGCACCTCCAAGCGCGCCAGCCAGCGTTAAGTTGGGCGTGTCCCCCTGCAGGGGTGTTTTCGACGAAAAATAAAAATATTCCAAACAGATTCAAAAACTGTTTCAAAAAAAAGCTCAAACAATAATCCCCAGACTATTTTTTTACTATTTTTGAACAGTCCCCCTGTAGAGGGACAAGCCCGACTTAAAGCCAGCGCTGAGGGGTGCCCCTGTAAGCCCGGACCGAAGCCTATTCCAGAGAAAGGCCACTCCCTTAGTGGGCCCTGGAAACGACAAGGCCGTTTTTTTACCGGTTCCGTTTTGCCGTTGTTGTTGCCGGTTCCGACGCCGTTTTTTTGTTACCGGTTCCGTCGCCGTTCTTTTACGGGTGCCCGCTCCAGTTCCAATCCTGGAGCCTTTTTTGTTGCCGTTTCTGGTCGCCGTTTTTTTGTCGTTTCCATTTTCAGGGTATACTTTTTCGGAAACGGTGAAAAAACGGCCCTGCCGCTTCCGGGGCCCACACTCCTAGTGGCCGATTCGTCTTGGCGGCCAACCCGGGGTGGAAAAGGGAAGGGGCGGGCCTTCTCGGAAAGCCCGGAGGTATCCTGGCCTCCTGAGAATTGTTCAGGGCCTTCTCCGAACATGCAAAAAACTGCTCAACGAGGGCTAGCGGGGCCTTCTAAGAAGCTTCGCCGCCTCCTCAGAAGGCCTCACCCTTCGAACTCCCCCCCGAGCTCGCCGCCGACGCTACTCCCCAGACCTCTCAGGGTGCGCGTTCTGACAGAGATTCCGAAGCGAATCCAATGGCGAATCCTCGCTGGCCGTCAATCCTCCCCCGCTCCTCCCATGGGTCGTTAGCTGGGCTGCCCGATGGGCACCCGCCCCACCCAGCCGCCCAGCGCAGAGCCGCCCAGCTCGAGGAGAGCGGCGGCGCAGAAAGCCGCACCGAGCAGCCCCCGCGGCACCGCCTGGCTTGGTGGCTAGATACGCAAATGGAGCCTGGCACACCACGTGACTGGGGGGCGCGTGGCGAGCGACAATAAAATGAGGGGTAACGAGGGCTGCCGACAAAGGATAAGGCCCGTAAGGGGGCCCTATAGGGCCCCAGAAGTGGCCTTTAGGGCCCGAGTCCCCCCCCATGTATCCCCTTCCATTAATTCGCGCCCAAATGACACTTGTTTTGCTTGCCAGGTTTCGGTCATTACCCGAGGGGGGTCGGGCGGGAAGGTTCTGGTAACGGCGGCCGCGGCGTGCACCCGCCAGGGTGCGTCGGCGACACCGGCGCGTGAATCGCCTGTGTGCGCCACGGCATGAAGGGTAGGGTCCAAGCCACCCCCCCGCCCCAGTACGATCGTTACCCCGGGGCCCGGGTAACGAGCGCTACCCTGGGGACGCGGGGAAGAGAAACGCTCACCACACCACTGCCCATCGGATCCAGGCGACGTAGAAATCGTGTTGCGCCGAAGCTGGGTGGGCCAGGACTTCCGGCGGCGCGACACGCTAAGCCAAAACTCCTGCCCGTACGACCTCCTGGCTGGGGCCCATGAAAAGTCCCAGAGACACACACAAATAAATTGGCACCAGTCCCAATATCCCCGATGTTCCCCATTTGGTATGGCATTTCATTATCCCTCCTTTTTTCCCCATCCATTATCCCGTATTCCCGTTGGGATGATCGACGATTATTTGTGCTTGCGTGTTGGTTCCTCTCTTGGGCCAGGAAAATCTTTCCACAATTCTGGCCCACACTGGCCCCGGCCTGGCTTAGTGGTCGTGATGAAAAGGTGGCCTCTGTGGGCCAGGATCCACAAGCGATTTACCTGGAAGCCTGGGCTGGCTTAGCCGCGATAGCTTGTTCGAACAACGCCCCAAGAATTGGAAACAAAACTTATCGTGTCGGCGGCCATATTGACGGACTGGGGTCCCAAGAACTGTGATAACAGTAAACCCCCTAAGCGCCCGCCGCACAATAATGTCAGTTTGTGAGTCATTGAAGCACCGGGGGAGGGGCGCAATTAAAAAAATGTCCCCCTGCTCGGGGAAATCACGGGGAAGGCGCCCTCCAATGGAAGCGCGCGGCGGCAGCGCCAGTGATTAGCGCCGTTGCCTGGCCGCCAGCGGGAAGGCGACACGCGCGACGCAAGCGGCGCCGCTTCAGCGGAGGGGGACAATAGCGCCTCCGCAGTACCGGGGCACTTGGGCCAACACGGTTGCAAACAAGACAAGAGGGATGAACGGCAGAGGCAGACGGAAAAAGGGTTCCTCCTTCTCTCTCTCCGCCCCTCCTCCACCCTCCCATACAATATGTCTTACGACGACGACGGCGGCGACGACGTAGATTGCGACGACGACTGCGGCGACGGCGACTGCGAAGGTAGACGACGACGCACTGCGGATGTTCCATTGGGGGGAAGCAGGTGTGCTGCGCATGCCCGCTGTAATCGTCGCCGACAACGACGACGACGACGACGACGACGACGACGACGACGACGACGACGACGACGACGACGACCGACGACTACGCAGCGCGGATGCACCATGAGGGGAAGGGATGGGGTGGGTGCTGCGGGTGCTGCGTAGGCCTGCTGTCGTCGACGCCGGCGTCGACGACAATGACGCACTGCGGATGCCCCTAATGGGTGGAGGGAGGTGTTGCGCATGCCCGCGTTAGTTGACAACGACGACGCTGACGACCGACGACCGACAACCGACAACCGACGACCGACGTCCGTCGACGACGACAACAACGACGACGACGACGACTATGACACGTCAGTAACCAGCCTGGGAAAGGGGCGAAAACGTCGCTGCAGTGGTATACGATCACTGAGACAACGTGTATACGAAGAACCATCGTTTTGAGGCTGCCGTGCAGGGGGGTACACGATCCCGTCGGCGGCGCCCGCGACGACCCCCTGTCGCACGTGATCAAAAACATGTTTCTCGCCCCGCGGGGTCTATTCATCATCCCCGAGGGGGGATCACGGCGACGACTACGACTGGGATTGCGACCGCGGTACGACTACGCTGGCGACTACGAGCAGTTAGCGACCACGACTACCATTGCGATTACGACTGCGGAGAAGGGGTGAGCTTACTCTCCGCCGCTATGAAATCTTCAATCCGAGGCCCCAGAGGTACCGACCCCTTCCCTGGGGGGTGGCTCTCGTCCACGATCAATTTCTGATTGTCTCGGGGCACGGAAACTTGCCCCGAGCGCCGAAATCAAGGAAAAACTTAAGGATTGAACAAATATGCCGTCGGAGATCTGGTGTATCCACACGCGCCAAAAGGATACAGCCCCCCTCTGGGCGCCAGGGGACGCGCCAGAGGGACGCGCCAGTTGATATGCAACAGGACGCGTCAAAGGTCTTGCCAGGGGACGCGCCGAAAACGTACCAGCGGACGCGCCAAGGGAGGTACTGGGAGTCGGGTAGGGCACATGCCTAGGGGTGCGCCAGGGTGTCCAGAAGATCCCGCAGTTCCCAAAAAGCATATACTGGCCCTCGCTTCTGGAGCCGGTGCAGCCGGTGCAGAAGAATGGGAGACGCGGGAAACCTCGGAAGTCTAGGAACGCACTACTCTCGTGACGCCTTGCTCCTCTAGAAGAAGAAGAAACAAAATAGGAATATCATTAGCACAAATAATAAGAGTGAGAATGATATTAACAATAAAAATACCATTAATATGACTAATACTAATAATAACAAGAATAATCATAATAATAATAAAAATAAAAACAACAAAAAATATGAAATAAAAAACAGACTAATAATACTATAAATAATAATATAAATAATAATAATAATAATAATGATAATAATAATAATAATACTAATAATAATAATCCTGGCGAAAGACCCAACCATATGCAGTTGCGAGTGCCGCAATTGTGAGTACCTTCTTCGGTGGCGCTCCCTATGGGGCCACGAACCGCATGAGGGGTATGCCGAAATATGGCGGGGTACACAACGCAAAGGAATACGATAGGTCAGATTACGAAAGAATGAACGCGGGTGAGCCAGAGCGCGAGAGAGTCTGAGTGTGAATGGGTCTGCGTGGGAGTGAGTATATTTGCATGAATGCGATCTTGGCTACGCCTCGTGTAAATGTATATGAATGTGAATGGCTCGAGCATGCCTGTCCGAACACTCGTGACACTGGGCGTGGCCGCCGCAGGCAGCTTCCGCGGGAACCCCGACGGCAGCGCCCGCGCGCCGCGACGCCCATGTCGGCACGCCCCTCACGGGGATCGCACCCGCTTCCGCCCCTTCTTTCCCCCCCTCTTTGCCTGCGCGCTCCAAAAATCCAAAGCTGCGGGCGCAGAGCAGCGCGGAGTCCCCGCGACGCGCGCAGGTCGCCGCGGAGGGGTCCCAGCGACGCGCGCAGGTCGTCCGCTGCGCGGAGCACAGAGAGCTAGCCGGCCGGCTGATTGCGGGCAAGGCTCCGGCCGCTGGGCAGAGCGACGACGGGCGAGCGAGGCGCTGAGCAGAGCGCCGCGCGGAATCCCCGCGACGCGCGCTGGTCGCCCCGAGAGGGCCCCAGCGACGCGCGCGGGTCGTCCGCGGCGCGAGGCCGAACAATTATGCGGGCAGTCGAGGGAAGGCGCGGCTCGGGGGGGGCGCTCCTCAGGTCAGGCCTCGCGGATAAACTCGGTGAAGCCGAGCTTCCTGGCGAGGGCCGTCGCCTCCCTCCTGCGCCGCTTCGCGCGCGCTGCAAACTGCTCCAGCTGCTTTCGCAGGCCCTCCGGCGGTCCTACCAGGAAGAACTCGATGCGCGGCGCCCGCATGAGCAGGAGGTCCTCGTGGCGCGTGGCGCGCGAGAGCAGCACATGGAGCTCCAGCCACCAGTCGTCGTCCTCCTTCTTGCCGTTCCCGGCCTCGTGGCGGCCGCAGTCCAGGATCACGCCTGGGCGACTCGGCCGAGGGGGCAGTGCGCCGGGCAGCCGACGGCCCAGGGCGAGAGTCCACAAGACCGAGATCTGGCCGCGGACTGCTCGCGCCCCCGGGGTCTGGCCGTCCCCGGAGCGCCGGTCCCCCGCCCCCCGCCACTTGGACCTCAGGTGGATCTGTGAGGGGTGTGCCAAAATGGGGCGGTGGCGCCTTGCGAGCTGCGCCACTTGGACCGTAAATGGAGCTCCCTATGGGGCCACGAAACGTGTGAGGGGTGTGCCAAAAAGGGACGGTGGCGCCATGCGAGCTGCGCCACGTGGACCTTAGGTGGAGCTCCCTATGGGGCCACGAAGCGTGTGAGGGGTGTGCCAAAAGGAGCTCCCTGAGGGCCACGAAATCTGTGAGGGGTGTGCCAAAATGGGGCGGTGGCGCCATGCGAGCTGCGCCACTTGGACTTCAGGTGGAGCTCCCTGAGGGGCCACGAAATCTGTGAGGGGTGTGCCAAAATGGGGCGGTGGCGCCTTGCGAGCTGCGCCACTTGGACCGTAAATGGAGCTCCCTATGGGGCCACGAAACGTGTGAGGGGTGTGCCAAAATGGGCGTGCGGGACGCATGCGGGCACACCCACTGGGACCTTCGGTGGAGCTCCGTATGGGGCCACGAAACGTGCGATGATGGCGACGAGGACAACGATGATGGTGATGACGACGATGATGGTGATGATGACGATGATGGTTATGATGGCGGCCATGATGTTGATGCTGATGACGATGATGACGATAATGATGATGATAATGATGATGATGACGATGATGATGATGATGACGATGAGGATGATAGGAGGGGAGAGGAGGCGGAGGAGGAGAGGAGGAAGGAGACGCGGGGCACCGTCTCTTCGAAACGAGGACCCAACACCACAGGATGGTTGGGAATACTGATGATAATAATAATAATAAGAATAAGAATAATAATAAGAAGAAGAAGAAGAATAATAATAACAAACTGCGCCATAAACATGAGTTTCTGGCGTTCCGCGCGGATTTCTTGGATCTGCGCTGGACCCCCCTCCCTGGCGC